AGCCAAGATCCATCTGACATCAGCAATGATATCCCTCGTTCCACATCCTCTTCTGAATCCAGCTTGCATTTCTGGAAGTTCTCTGTCAACATACTGCTGCAACTGCTTTTGAATTAGCTTCAGCAGGATTTTACTTGCGTGTGATATTAATGATATTGTTTGATAATTTCACTTCTGTGGGATCATCTTTATTTGGAATAGATATAAATATGGATCTCTTCCAATCAGTTGGCCAGGTAGCTAGCTGTTTACCAAATATTTTGGCATAGAGGAGTAAGTGCTTCCAGCGTGGCATCCATTTGTTGAAACATCTCAGTGGGTATTCCATTAATTCCTGGAGGCTTGTTTTTCGCCAATTCCTTCAGTGCAGCTTCAACTTCTTCCTTGAATACCACTGGTTCTTGATCATATTCCAACTCCTGAAATAGATGAATGGCAACCAATTCTTTTTTGTACAGTGACTTTGTGTATTCGTTCAATCTTCTTTTGATATTTCCTGCATCACTCAATATTTTGTCCATAAAATTTTTCAATATTGCAACTAGAGGCTTGAATTTTTTCTTCAATTCTTTCAGCTTGAGAAATGCCGAGCATGTTCTTCCCTTTTATAAACCTAATGAACCACATTGGCCACACTGGCTGCCTCACCTATCTTCAAAGATACCAGACAAGTTCCTGCTTCAGGGCCTTTGCATTTGCAGTTCCCTCTGTCTGGAACACTCTTCCCCCAGATAACCACCTCACGAAATCCTTCAAATCCTTTGGATGTTGACTTAAATGACACTTTCTCAAGGAAGTATCTCCAGACCTATTTAAAATATTAGTCTGTAAAATGGGTTATAATAGTAGCAGCAGCAGCAGAACCTATTTAACTTCAGGGAGTAATGCAAATCAAGCTCAGTCGAAAGCTGATCCCTATGAGGTAGAAGTCAGACATACCTCCACTCTCCAACATTTATTACCCATTTGTTCCCCAGCCGTTTCTCCCACAACACCCTCTACTTCTCTTCTGAGTTCAATAATCTGTTGTAACAGCCACACAGAACTCACAGACGATATGTAGTTAAGTAGTTTATTAAAGAGCAGGGTACAAGTCAGGATCAGGATCAGGATCAGGATCAAC